ATATTTGAAGAAATATAGTCTTAAGGTGTGCTATATCTATGGGATAAAGTGCTCAATACCAGAGATAGAGCGCGTGTAAATATAAAAGTGAACATAGAAGTCAACACTTAAAGGCGACAGTCCGTTTCATGCTATATGCAATCGTCAGGCCACGTGTGCTGCTATTTTTCTCGGCTATTTAGAGCCGAGAAAAATGTGTGTGAGTGTGTAGGCATGTCTGTGTGTGCGCGTGCGTGTGTGTGTATGCAATGTTATCCTATAGCTATAAACTGTAAAATGCATTAAAAATAGATAAGTACTATCTAATTAGATCATTAGAAAATTGAAAAATAAAGTTTGAAAAGTTTGCAATTTGTGTTTATTTGTAAGGTTGTGTGTTATGCTATAAATTGTTATCAATACACCATTAGCAATCTAGAAAATAGAGCTTCCGAAATAGTTTGATTTTTTACCCTTGTTGTGTATATGGTAAAATCGAATTTTCGGTTTGTGGTGACCTTTTTCAAGAATTAAAATAAATTAATGCCTTCTTTAATTACTTTTGAAGAAAACTTTATCGATTTCTAACACAAGAAGAGAGAGTTACAAAAAGTCAGAACCCTAATGAGTAAAACGCAAACGGTGATGACAATTTCATATCGAAAATGCTGAACTTAAAAATGGCGCTCGGCGTTAAGTTGAATTTTTTTTCTTTTTTGGTTTCAATATCTATCAAGATGGATAACCTAACGGCCCTGTTTCAACTTTTTATCGCCTTTGTTTTTATCTTTTATCGTTATTGCTTGTAAAAATCCAACATTTAATAGCAGTAATTTCGTCAGAAAAGGAGATAGCAACTGATCATGGATAACGAAAATTTCGAAATTGGTAAAATTTCAATCTATTTTCACGTTAACTAATCACTTTCTCTTTCAGTTAAAACTGAATATTAGCCTGATATATAAATATGTCGATCGTATCTAACTCAATGTCCAGGACAGTGTAAGAATATAATAAAAAGGCTTAAACACTAATATTCCATGTTCATAATTTATTCCATTGGAATCGTAAATACGATCCAATTCATCAGACATAGAAATTCAAAAGAAAACAGGAAAAACTCCGAAATAAAAATAGAATTTAGAGAGAGTGTATGTATGTATATGAGAATATATATATATATATATATATATATATATATATATATATATATATATATATATATATGTGTGTGTGTGTGTGTGTGTGTGTGTGTGTGTACATGTGTATATATATATGTGTATGTGGGTACACACTATATGTATGTATGTATGTGTATATGTTATTGTGTATGTATGTATACGCATGTGTTTTTGAACATAAAAATATAGGTCCTTGCTAGATTAGATAATCTTTATATTTATTTTTTATATATTTATATCTGATTTGTAACCTGTAGTCGATATTAATTTTGTCAAATTTTCTTAATTACACTGCGGCCCTTTCAGTAAATGCCCTTCAATTTTAGTCCCCCCTCCATCTCTCTTTCCCACCCCTTTTTCTTTTCTTTTCCTCTCCTTCTGATCTTTAAGATTAGATCGTCTATATTCTGTGTGTATGTCACCACAAAATGTATCCTTTCCGGTTACATCTTTAATGTATTAGACATCCAACAACATTCATATTTCTCTCACTTCAACTCCGTCTTCAACTCACCTTTCTAAAACTTCTCTCTGTTAAGGTTTAATCTCCCACCTTCTCTCGTCTTTTACCCATCTCTTTAGCTCTGACATTCGTCCCACCTCTCCTTACACTCTCTCTAAATTCTATTTTTTATTTCGGAGTTGTTTTTTCTGTTTTCTTTTTGAATTTGTAGGTCTGATGAATTGGATCGTATTTACGATTTCAATGGAATAAATTATGAACATGGAATATTAGTGTTTAAGCTTTTTATTATATATATATATATATATATATATATATATATATATATATATATATATATTATTATTATTCATTATTATATTTTTATCACTACACAAAAATTTCTATGTTTCGGAACTTTAAATATAGTCTGTCATCAGGTGATGTTAGATAACTTATGATAACTTCGCCCTCACCCCTTTAACTCCTAAATGAGCTCCCGATTTCTTTTCTGATTTCCCTAATAAATCATTTTCATCATAATTTATCAAATACTTTTTGAAAAAAGAGAAGCTAAGAACGTTGGATCCTTCATCTGTCTCTTTATATATATATATATATATATATATATATATATATATATATATATATATATATATATATATATATATATCCGAATGTAATGAGAACGAAAATAATATATAAATACTAACGTTCACAGAATTAATTCAAAAGAGTGGTCACTACCGATAATAGAGCAATAATTATTTATTATAATTTTTTCATATAGACAAAAACAATTTACTCACTACAAAGATGCAACTTCGTTTCAGTGCATTTAATTGCACTTCGACTGATGAGAATCAAAATGGTTATGAACAATTCTGTTTGTGAGTAAGCCGTATGGAAAACGTCACTTCTTTTTTAACATTTGTTTGAAAAAAATAGAAA